GTGATTATAAAAATTTTGGAGGATCTTATTGTTCTCTTCCAACTTTTTTTCTTCTCCATCTTTACTTAACTTTAATCAAATTGGTTATAATTTGAGTTTATTTAAGTAGTGTGAATATCAGCCATGGATTTTTTATTCTTTATTTTCTAAGCATAATTTTTTAAAGATGATTATGTTTATTTTTTTCTCTTTTTTTTCAAACTATTAAGTAATTTTTGGATTAAAAATGTGCCCTACGATTTTTTGCATTTATATTTACATCTGTATTAGAAAGCCTAGAATCTAAGGCAATCTTTCAGTTCACATTTCTGTCATTTGGATTAGCCTTTTGTGAACTGTACATACGTATCACACAATTCTTATGCATTTACACATCTAACACGTAAAATTTGATATTACATTAAGAAAACCCTGGCATTAAAAACTTGCATGAAAAAATATTTATTTGCATACAATATTTTTATTTGAGTGTTGTGTGTAAATATGAAATTTTTGGTGTTAGGTATGTAAATATTCAAGAATTTTGTGGTATGTATGTAAATGCCCTTAACTTATTATAATTTTGTCGATTCCTCAAAAATTGTATTGAGGGCTGGAAATTATCTCTTAGACTTGATGCCAAGTTATGTTGTTAGTCTACAATTGGAAGAGCTGGAATCTCAGTAGGCACATTGAACTACGTGAGCAAGGGGGTAGCATGCACTGCATCAACCTGTTGTCACAAATTCTGACAAAACTATATATTTTTTATTACATTCTCCCTTGTTTTGTTTTGTAGCGCTTTTATTATTCACTAATGTAAACCCTTTCAGTCCTAAACAATATTCATGTTGTCTATTATTATTATTATTTATTTGCATGCATACCATCCAATCCAAGTTTATATGTAAATACATAAGAATTGAGTGATATGTACAATAATCTTCCTGGCTATTATTATCTCAGAACATTATTAGTTAGGCTTGTTTCCTCTACTCGAATGTTATCATTTTCAGACAATGTTGGTTAACAAGTGTTCAACACATTTTTATTTTATTTTTATTTTTTTATTTATCAAATTGATTATGACTGACCGAAAACTCGGCCGGGGAGTTTTGAATATTAAGATGGAAATGTGCGATGAGACGGAGAAAGTATTAGATGTGAACATTTTTATTGTTTAAACAAAATATTTAGTACATAAGAGTTTCAATATACAAAAATTTAACTTGTAAAATTTGTTTGGATTTAAAGTTTTTATAGTTAATTTAGATTTAAATTTTTTATAATTGTTTGTACTTATCTTTTTTAGGCTCATGGATGTTTGTACACATAATATCTAGGGTTGTTGGTACTCTAAAGGAAATTTCCTTAAAAAATTTCAGTAACAAGAGTCATGAGGTAAACATTTTGGTGGATAAATTGTTTTTAAATTATAATAATGTAAATTTTAGAATAATTTAATAAAAATTATTACAATAAGTAGTTAAAAAAAGAGATAAATCAATCAATTTTATTGTTAAATCTTCTTATTTCATAAAAAATACTTATTAATAAGAGTTATTGTATAAATTTGAATTAAAAATATACTTTTTATAACATTTTTTAACATTTTCAAAAACCCAACAAAAAAGTAAGTAGTTATTTCTATATTTATTTTCATTTTTATTTTATGTGCATGAGTATGTTATTTTTGATTTGTTGGAAGTAAAAGCTTTTATTATTGGTGCATAGATTTTAATTAATTAAATTTACTATTCAGAGTTATTTTTGTTAGCAGTTTTGTTCTATTTAAAGGAAAATTACTTCTCATAATAGCAATAGAATGTGTCATTGGATGAAATAATATTACTTTAACAATATATTGGTGGTCTTGATTTATCTTTTTTAGATATTATTGATTTTATATGCAGTGTTAAAATTATTTGAATTTTTTTTTTAATTCTAGTTGCTGCATGACAAATTAGTGTTTAAATCATTATGAGTTGTAAAAAAATTCATTCCACAATTTTTTGGAATGATATTTGCAAAGCTGCTTGGAAATTGAAATCTTCTCTAACTTTCTATGTTAATTATGATTGTAGTCTATTTTTCTTTATGATGCCTGGCTTTTTGGATTTTTTCTCATTAATCTTTTTAGAAAATTTATTTTTTTCTTTGTTTAATCTTAACAAAAATACTAAACTTCATCAAATTATGAATAATGGTGTTTTGAATTTAGCTGATAACTTTTTGGCTCCTATTTAATGTATTCAAGGTACGTATGGTGCTCTAATCAGTAATAGTATTATTTACCTCTGGAAGAACAAGAGTTTATATTTTCATGAAGATATTTATTATTTCCTTTATGAATGTTTACATTGTGTGGATTAGTTTAAATTGATTTGGTTTAAGGGTTAATCTATTATGTTTTCAGTTCAGTGTAGGAAAACTATTTATGGTGGCATGAAGCTTAAGATATTCTTATCAATGGAGGAATTTATGTTAATTCTACATCATTTTATGTTACTCTGTGATTGAAATTCAGTCACCTATTTTCTTAATGTCTTTTTTCTCATTTTATTCTTAGTAAGTGCATTCTTAATGGTTATTATTTTATTCTTTCTACTAGTGTTTTTTAGAATCTCTATCATTCTGATAATATTATTGGTAAAATTAATAAGAATTTTCATCTTTTAGTTATTCAAATCATTAGTTTATTATATATGGTTTGAAAGAAATAATAGAATTTATAGAAGTTCTTCTATCTCTGTTGAGTTATAAATTAAACGTCGACCATCTGATGATCCGATTTGGAGAGTAGATGTTTTAGATTCGATTTGTGTTAAGAAAGGCAGAGGTAGACCTAAGAAGACTTAGGCTTATTGTATTAAAAATGATCTTAATTTACTAGAACTAAATGAAAATATGACACTAAATA